GGCATCTTCTTCCAAACAAGCCTTCCTCATACTGGAAGAAGATGCCTTCTAGGACTTTCATAGCTAGAGAGGAGAAGTCAATGAATGGCTTCAAAGTATAATCCAAAAATTTTACCAAATCTACTCTGCCTGTGCTCTATAAATAAAACAACAAAGTCTGGATGACTGCACATCTGTTTACAGCATGGTTAACTAAATATGTTAAACCCACTGTCGAGACCTGCTGCTCAGAAAAAAAAAAAAGATTTCTTTCAAAATATCACTGCTCACTGACAATGCACCTAGTGACTCATGAGCTCTGGTGGAAAAACACAAAAAGATTAATGTTTTTATGCCTGTTAACACAACCTCCACTCCATAGCCCATGGATCAAGGAGTAATTTTGACTTTCAAGTCTTATTAGTTAAGAAATACATTTCATAAGATTATAGATACTATAGTTAATGATTCCTCTGATGAATCTGAGCAACATTAATTGAAAACTTTTTGGAAAGGATTCATCATCCTAGATGCCATTAAGAACATTTGTGATTTGTGGGAGGAGGTCAAAATATCAACATTAACAGGAATTTGGATGATGTTGATTCCAGCCCTCATGGATGACTTTGAGGAGCTCAAGACTACGGTGAAGAAAGTCACTGCTGATGTGGCAGAAACAGTAACAGAACTGAATTAGATGTGGAGCCTGAAGCTGTGACTAAATTGCTGCAATCATGTGATAAAACTTAAATGAATGAAGAGTTTCTTCTTATCGATGAGCAAAGAAAGTAGTTTCTTGGGATGGAATCAACTCCTGGTGAAGATGCTGTGAACATTGCTGAAATAACAACAAAGGATTTAGAATATTACATAAACTTCACATATAAAGCAGCGGCAGTTGAGAGGACTGACTCCAATGTTGAAAAAGTTGTACTGTGGGTAAAATGCTATCAAATAGCTTCTCACGATACGGAGAAATCTTTCCTAAAAGTAAAAGTTAATCAATGCATCAAACTTCCTTGACTTATTTTAAAAAGTCACCACAGCCATCCTAAACCTTCAGCAACCCCCACCCTGTTCAGTCAGCAGCCATCGACACCCAGAAAAGACCCTCCACCAGCAAAAAGACTACAACTTGCTGAAGGCTCAGATGATGATTAGCATTTTTTAGGAGTAACGTATTTTTTAAGTAAGGTATATACATTGTTTTTTAGGCATAACGCTATTGCACAAAATAGATTACAGTATAGCAAAAACATAACTTTCATAGGCACTGGGAAGACAAAAAATTTATGTGACTTGTTTTACCGTGGTGGTCTGGAACTGAATCCACAATGTCTCTGAGGTATGCCTGTATAAGAAGAGCTGACTAGAGAAAAGTTTCTCAGAAACACAAAACCACAATGGAAGTGAGACAGCCTAATTCAAAAAAAATTAAAAGAAAAAGAAAAAAACTCTAAAAAGCACTATGCTTTTGCTCAAAAAAGCCATTTGTTTGCTAGTGTGAGTTCTGACAAAGACCAAATCCTGTCTCAAGTACATGTTAGGAGCTTGCGTTGACATTCTCTAAGGTCAGTTAAACCACACACAGTAAGAGATTACATCTTCCATTCCAATTTGCATTCATTAAAATATAATTCTTAAAATGGTGGGACAGTCAGATGTTTGGTCTAGATCTTCACAGTTGTTCATGGCTTCATGTTCCTGCAAATATAATCTGCACTTTTCTGAAAAAGGAAAATGAAAGAGGATGGGTGACTCTTAGTCAACCCGTGTGATTTCTGGATGAGGACCTGTGAAATGGAGAAAATTGGATTTCCCAGAACTGGTCCTGCCACTGCTCCCTTCCGATCCAAATTGAGCATATGTGTTACTTGGTGCAATTGTTGTCATAGAGATGATTCTTGTTTGTTAAATAAAAGAACCAAATGGTTACAGAAAACTAGACAATGTAAACTGTACATGTATAAATAAGTTATTTCCCTTTAAATGTCAAATGTCCCATCTCTCCTTATCCTTTTTTTTTTTTTAGCTTTCTCTAATTAGATAGACTCATAGTTTTCATCAAGAAGTTCAGTAAATAAATATTTGGACTATCTACTCTGTGTAAAATGTCACAAAAACATTTAGAAACAAGCAAGAAATCCATATGGATGAGAAGAAAAGAGAGGTGGTGATGATGGTGGTAGTGGTGGTGATGGTGGTAGTGGTAGTGGTGGTCATGGTAGTGATGGGAGTGGTAGTGGTGGTAGTGGTGATAGTGGTGGTGGTGGTGCAGGTGGTGGTGGTTGTCTTGGTAATGGTGGTGTTGATGGTGGTTGTGGTTATGGTGCTGGTTGTGGTGGTGGTCATGGTGGTGATGGGAGTGGTGGTGGTGGTGGTGATAGTGTTGGTGGTGGAATGGTGGTTCCTGGTAACGGTGGTGTTGATGGTGGCTGTGGTCATGGTGATAATGGGATTGGTGGTGGTGGTAGTGGTGGTGGTTGTCCTGGTAATGGTGGTGTTGATGGTAGTTGTGGTTATGGTAGTGGGGGTGATGGTGGCAGTGGTGGTGGTTGTTCCCGGTAATGGTGGTGTTGACAGAGGTTGTGGTTATGGTGGTGGTGGTGGTGGTGGTGGTCATGGTGGTAATGGGAGTGGTGATGGTGGTGATGGGAGTGGTAATGGTGATAGCAGTGGTGGTGGTGGCAGTGGTGGTGGTTGTCCTGGTAATGGAGGTTGTGGTAGTGGTGGTGGTGGTGATGGTACTGGCAGTGGTCCTAGCTAAAGTGATAACAGAATGAAGTTCTAGAAACCAAAATATTTTTCAACATAACATGTGATAGTAAATCTAATTCAATTGATTTGCGTCATATCTTAGGGGACAAAGTTGTAGAAAATGATATACACTGGAAATCCTAAATTGAAAAGGTAGTTAAAAAATAAAATGACCTTTGTTCCTTATTCGAAACAATTATGGAACAAGACTAAAATTTTATTCTTCCCTAGTGTTTTAAAGCCAGATCCCCTGGGCCATCTCTGTGATTAACTGTCTTAATTTTCTAATTTAATTATACCTTCTCAGTCCCCTCCCTGTTATTACTCTAGGTCATCTCTACAATTATCTCTTTTCTGGGCAACAACAGTTCCTAAATGTCTTCCCTGACCACAATTTTGCCACCTCCATCCATTAGGTCCATTGTGCAAAGCATTATTTCTGTAAAATGCTTATTTGATGAGGTTGCTTCTCTGATCAAGACACTTCAGTGGTTCTCAGCCACTTTAAGGCCTATATTCTCTAAATGGCTTACATGTTTTATAAATTGTTATGCATAATTGCTTTATTCTGCCAGTACTTCAGTCTGAAATAGAGTCTATTGGCTTGCATGGCAAAACTCAAGCATCATCTTTCATTCTGAAAAGTGTTTTCTAACTCACTCTTATATTATTGTCCATATTCTTTTTTAAGCCATGCCCTTACATTGCACAGATTTCTATATAACATTTTATTGCATCCAAAATGCTTGCTTATATATCTGTCTCCTACAAGAATAGACTGTCTTTTCATCCAAGGATCTAAGATTGTTTTATTTTATAAAAATATTTTAGCACACAGTAATTACAATATTTATGGAATGAATGAGTGAGTGAATAAGAGAATGGATGAATGAATACATAAATGAATGGCACAGAACCTTCAGGTTAATATTATTTAGTCCCTACAGTTGAATGCGGCCACAGTAAGTAGCACTAGTAATCATGGATGACAACACGGATGCAAGTAAAGGAAGTGAAACCATTGTTTAAAGGTGTCTGTAAACCAAACCAATACATATTCATTGAAGTATAATCCACAGAAATTTTGAACTAGTACAATGATCAGTAGGAAACAGTGAACAATTTTTTTAGAAGTACAGAATAATGTTTGAGATTATGGATATGCTAATTACCTGATTACTATACATTACAGGTATTGAAACATCACTATATGCTCTATGCATATGTACAACTATTATATATCTATTTTAAAAACTACTTTAATTTGTTTAAGCACAGAATAAGAACATCTGGATTTAAACATATCTCCACTACTTAAATGTTGCACTGGGCTTATTTCTTTTACTTTTATAAGCTCATTTCTTCAGACATAAAATTAAATAGTCAAAGTAGGTAGAACTTTATAAATAGGGACCACATGACTCAGACACGTTCAAGTAAAATCTATGAAAAAGTTTTGATTCAAAGTCATTTAATAGATATACACTAACGGACAGACTCTCATCCCAAAGTCACTTACTCAAACATTTCAGTTAACAAAAAAGAAAAAAGAAAAAAGTTTTTGGCAGTTATCTATATAACCACACTAAAAAAAAAAAAATGTTTTCAAAGGCAAGAAAACATTTTTGTGGGTAAACACATTTACACTCCAAAATTATTATAGTCATTGGTACCTCCCTGTGGGATCTGAATATATGGGGATGCTGGAGGAAATAGTTAAGTTTCTTGTTACCCATGGCTTGATAATTGAGCATTTGACCATACTAGTCAGCCATTCTCTTCAGAGAGGTGATGTGGGTTTGACCACACTCAAAAACTAGTCCTAGCCATTTGTACTGGAGGGAACACAAGGAAAAGAGGGAAAGCTCTTAAAACAAGTCTGTCTGTCATAATATCTCCTTGGGGTTTCTCTTTGGTCCGAGAGCAGCTGTTGTAGCTTTCAGGTAAAGCAATGAACTCATGATGTTCTACCAAGATCTTGCCAGGCTTCATGATTCAGTAACAGCTCTGAAATAAGGCAATGGCATCCCAATTCTTTGAAAAGGCTAACTTTCTACTTCACGAGAGTTTAGCTCTACTTCAGAATATTACCTAAGAATGAAGAAATATTTACTCACTGACATGAAAAGAGAGAATTGAGAGTTGGAATATCTCTCTCAATTTCCATGTTAATATTTCCTTGTTATTTTCCTTTAAGAATATGAAGACCATATCCACAAAGGATCATAAAATCTGTATGAATTCAAGTAGAGAAATAAACGAACCTCTCAAAATGCCCTTTGCAACAATTGGCAATGATGTCAGTCTTCTCAGCCATTTGATATCTTCCCAGCTGATAGATGGGTCTATCGCTTTAGCCACATATGCAGCAAGTCCACTGTCATCTCCAAAATTTTCCTCAGGAGAAAATGATAAAGTACTGGTTTCAAAATTTTTCATCCTAAAATAAGAAATGCATAAAACAAGAAATTTGCCAAAGTTAGAAATATCTTTCCAATGATTCATTCGATGAAAAATGTTACCCTTTTCAAATCAATTGGCTGTTCACTCCTCATTCATCTATAAGTCAATTAAGTCAATTGCATGCATATTTTCCATATTTTAATGTAGGACTCTAGACTAAATGTTATACACTAGTGGTCTTAATCAGTGACCTAAATTTTATTTTACATCTTAGGCTATGTTTATACAAACAAATGTGTTTCAAGGAAAAAAAATGTGTTCATATTCAAATATCCCTTTTTAAGCCAGTTTATAGGTATAGACAATAGAGTTGACACTATTTTTAGCCAGCAATGCAAATTAATCACAATTTTAAAAACATTTTTATGGTGCACTGTAATTTACAAAGGGTTTCGTATGCCAAAATTATCACGATTTTTCCTTAAAAGACTCTTAGAAAGTAACACTGATACTCTATGATTCCCATAGAAAATAAAAACAGAGGTACAAAATGAATTGCCTCAAATTAGAACTAGCTAATAGCAGTATTTGAGTTCCAATCTGGGTCCCTTGACTTTATTCCTAATTATATTCTCTTTGCTCAGATCTCAGTTTCCTCCTGGCTATTGCACCTGACCTCATGAAACCTTCCAATGCCCTTGTAGAAAATTCTAGAAGAGGTTGCAACTGCAGTAACAAGTGTTAACATGACTGTTGCCCCTGTAGACTCCTTCTTGCCCTGCTATTGCAGTATTGATGGTGGTGGTGGGCATGGGAGAAGTGGGAAGTGTTTCCCAGCAGGTAAGTTGTCACTTCTTGCCTTTCCCTCCCCCTTTTAGTTGTTCTCTCTGAACCTCTCGGTCTGCTGACTCAAAACAAGTTTGACAAGGACATGAACTTTTCAATTATCAATACCTTCGTTTCTCTGACAGTGGTTTTTTCTTGGTCCTGGGCCTGAGTTACCACCCACACAGCAAACTGGAAGCATTAGGGATGTTGAAGTGTAAATACCCCAGCTCCCTCACCCCTAGGTAGACTAACTCTGAGATAAATTCTGCCTAAGCTCCCAGAATTTTCCAGCAGGGTTAAGCTTCAGTTGCCCACAACTGTAGCTGTCTTGGTATTATGCCCTTTGTTCAATGCCTTCCCTCCTTTGCCTCACTTTCCTACTCCTCTAGCAGTATTCCCTTCACCTTCCCTATAAACTACTTGCACTGAAATCACAGGCTCACAGCCTGCTTCTAGGAGAACCCAAACTGAGACAAAGTACCACTGAGTTGCTTCCTTCCCGTATGTCTATTTTTGTTGACCCAGCTTAGCCCAGTATTTCCCTAACTCACCTCTAAGATTCTGCAGCTGGCTTCCCCTGTGCCTGAGGTCTTTTCTCTTGACCTAATATCCTGGCTAGACTTTGGCAGTTCCCCACTCTAGGGGCAATGTCTCTTCAGCCTGCAGCTGTGACTGCTAGCTGGATAGATGACTTCAGGATACACAATAGAATCATTCCTGTGACTTATCTGCCCACAGCCCCAAATCCAGTTGTAAAATTCTTCTCCTGAAAGATTGTTTTTGAATAATGACAGTGACCGGACTCACCTTGCTCTTCTGCATACTATTAATTCCCCTACCAGTCAATCTCCTTGTTTTGGGGGTCAAAGTATAGTGGTATGTATATCGATCTCTGGCTTAGTCCTATCTCTTTCTTCCCCTCCACCAGTTCTGTCATTAAATGTAGAGAAGATCATGGAGCCATATAAAAATTTATATATCGGCCAGGCGCAGTGGCTCATGCCTGTAGTCCCAGCATTTTGGGAGGCCAAGGTGGGCAGATCATCTGAGGTCAGGAGTACAAGACCAGCCTGGACAACATGGTGAAACCCAGTCTCTACTAAAATTTCAGAAAAATTAGCCAGGTGTAGTGGTGGGCACCTGTAATCCCAGCTACTTGGGAGACTGAGGCATGAGAATCGCTTGAACTCAGGAGGGGGAGGTTGCAGTGAGCCGACATCATGCCACTGCACTCCAGATTAGGCGACAAAGTGAGACTCCGTCACAAAAAAAAAAAAAAAAAATTGTATATCATACTAGAAGAATCTAGGCACAATCATGACTTCCTTTAATAGAAAACTATGATTTTTTACACTTTAGTGTATTTTAGCTAACATAACTGGTTATGTAGCTTGGGTGGCATATATTATCACAAAGATATGAACATTCATATCCCATATAACTCAATTCAAGCTATTAACAAAGTTTTCTCAATAAGGATTGAATAGTTAGTCCTATAGTTTCACGGACTCAGATGGCCATTGAAGATCATAGAAAATTTCAGTGAGTCATACGGATGCCCATCTAGTCGTTGGCCTTTGGTGGGGATTTTAGCTGAAATGCCTGGACTTCCTTTTTATTTAAATCAAACCACTTAGGGTTGTACGTTATATCATAGTCCTTGGTCTTCTGTGGTCACCCTAATTTGAATAAAGCTAACCGCTGGTCAATAAACATATCCTTATCATGGAGACCTACTTCATTACTTACAGATGATTAAATGATAATAAATTCCAAACCTTTAAATAATATTGTTAATAAGAAAAAGTCCGATCTGTCTATCCCATAGCAAGACCAGGAAAAGAAAAAGAAAAACATCTGTATGTGTATATAGTCTGCATGGCACCCCACCCCCATCCCAAACAAGCTCCAGTGTTTCAGCAGGGGTGGGGTGAAAGGGTGAAATGGATAGGAAAAAACAGAAACATGGATAAAATTATATAAATAACTGTTGTTATTCTTGGATGGTGAAATGCGGATCAACACTTGAATGAATGTTGCCTTACAGAAATTTCAGTGCACAATGAAGCCTTGTTGTTACTCTGAAACTTTGTTCAAAGTCAGAAGCCAAGAAAAAGTTTTCAGATATCTTGACAGAGACCCACGATGGAGTGTTTTACCAAGAGTTCTGAAAGAAACCTCCATGAATGCTATTTTTATTCGGATTATGACATATATATATAAATGCTTAAAGTGGCTTCCGATAACCAAAGTATTCCATTTTGTAAGGAAAAAAGGGGCGAAATCAAAATAATAACATGATTACTTAGGGCTTAATTCTCCAAATCCTGATCTGTTTAATGACACAAAGGTAAGAAACAAGATTTCTTCTTTGTAAGGTACTCATTATCTCTTGAGTGACACTCAAATATACTTTTTAATATAGAAGTTGTTTTAGCTGTTAGTAATTTAGCATCATAAAAATAGTAACAACTGCTAATGTAAGTTAAACATTATTAAATAACCAATAGTAACACTAATAATCACGAATATTGAGTAATACATAATATTATGTATTATAAGTATTGATAATGCAGCATTAAAGATAAAGCCACATAATTCTGTCTTGGGAAACGAAAAAATAAAATGACCAATAGAGGCTACAGTATCAACACAATATGAAAAGAAAGAGATTGAAAGAGGGGCTCATAAATACAGACACTGATACATGGGCCACCAGCCTTTAATTCTGTGGTTAGGAGAATACTTGTGTTGAGAACACAGCCCTGGTAATTGCTTCCTCAATGTGGCCGCTAGAAGAAGGTTCAGGGAATGAATTTCGAGTTCAAATCCTGGTTCAGCCTCTTGCTAGTTATGTCACATTGGGAAAATCTTGTATGCTCTAGTACATTTTGTTGATTGAGTCAACAATTACTTATTGAGCATCTACTACGTGCCAGTGTTTTCAATGTTTAAGATATATCAATAAATATCAAAACAGTTGAGAATCCCTGCCCATGATAAACATCATCAATAAGTAAATTACAAAGTGTATCAGAACATAAGCACTATACAAAGTCAAGAAAAAAGTAAAGCAGATTAAGAGGGATGTGAGTTGTCAGAGACTCAAAATCAAACTTTAAGTATGTTTGGTAACCAGTATTGGCAAAATTGAGAAGCTACCTTGAGGAGGAAATTAGTAGAACTGTGTTTGTGGTTATTTGTTACAACAGCAATAAGAATAACATGAAGGCATTATATTACAGTTCCAAATGTCAGAAGTCTAAAACGAGTCTCACTGGACCAAACTCAAGATATCAAGGGGCTGCATTTCTTCCGGAGAATCTAGGGGAAGCCCTATTCCCATGTCTTTTCCAGCTTCTAGATACCCCCTGCTTTCCCTGGCTCCTGACCACATCATTCCAACCTCTACATCTGTCATTTCGTCTCTTTCTCTGACTCTGACACTCTTGCTTCCTTCCCTCTTATAAGGACCCTTTTAATGACATCAAGCCTACTGAGATAAAACAGGAAAAATCCTCCCACCTCAAGCCCCTTAAGTTAATCACATCTGCAAAGTCCATTTTGCCACGTAAAGGAACAGGTTCCAGGGATTCATTTTCCTGCTATACTTATGGATGTGAATGATTTCCTAACCAAAAATTTAAGAGGCTATTATGCCATTTAAGAGGCTATTGTGCCAAGTCCTCCACTAACCTCTCTCCCTGCCCCTCCCCCCACCCTGTTATTCTGCTCATATTTGCATCTCTACCATCAGTTTTTATTGTGGCTTCCCAATATAGAGACATGTATACCCATTCCTAATGTCAAGACTCAATGCAAGCGAGGCTATCAGTCATGCGTGAATTCTGGGAATTACTGTTACAGGCAGAGGGAACAGCCAGGGCAAAGGCCCGGGGGTACCAGCATGCCTGGCATATTGAAGGAACAGCAGGGAAGCCAGAGTGGAAGAGTAGGTGAGGATGTGAGTGCTAGGCAGTGAGGCAGAGGTCATGGAGACCTATTCACATTGAGTCTACTTTAAGGCAGGCCACTTTCATCATGAGAGACCTGAGAAGATAGTGGCAGGCCAATCTATTTCAGTATGATATATTCTGGCTACTGTGATCAATAAATCACTTCTGGACACTGGGCGCGGTGGCTCACGCCTGTAATCCCAGCACTTTGGGAGGCCGAGGCAGGCGGATCACGAGGTCAGGAGATCGAGGCCATCCTGGCTAAGACGGTGAAACCCCGTCTCTACTAAAAATACAAAAAAATTAGCCGGGCGTGGTGGCGGGCGCCTGTAGTCCCAGCTACTCGGGAGGCGGAGGCAGGAGAATGGCGTGAACCCAGGAGGCAGAGCTTGCAGTGAGCCGAGATCCCGCCACTGCACTCCAGCCTGGGCGACAGAGCGAGACTCCGTCTTAAATAAATAAATAAATAAATAAATCACTTCTGGGCTTAAGAAAACATGTCACTGGGCAAATCGTAGAAAGGGTAAGTGTCATGATTTACCTTGATCTTAGTCAATGATCAGAAATTACTTTTCTTCTCTGTAAACTGCCTTGGCACTGCACTGAAGGGCCAAATCTTAATTCAGGGTAAATGAACCATCTCCGTGGGGATATGGAGAAAGAAAAAGTTCCTGCCCCAAAGCCTCAGGAATCAGTCTACTGAACTGGTTTCATTCCTTGCTTCTTCCAAGAGCAGATGAGAAGTCTCCTTACTCCCTCTCAGTTTCAGGAATCCCCGTGCCATTAATAATGTATACACATGCATGTGTTTTGCATATGGACCAAGCAGAGACTACCAAACCTCTGAACTCTTGCTGGGCCCAGATGCCAAGAGTCGGGACCCTCCCCCACACCCGGGCAGAGGAAGTAACAAGGGCTGGAAGGAGCCATGCTTTACAGGCTCATTCTCCTCTGGATTTCCTGCCTCCCTTGCCTGCCAAACCTCACTTTTGAAAAGCCAGGCTTCACCTTCTGTGAGTCAGGTCAGTTGCGGAAAGAAACCGATTTCATATCAGGCTATAACAGATGAGCTTTTCGGGTGTATGTGGCCTCAGGCGGAAGCCTGGACCTCCCATTAGCGTGCTCTGCCTTTGAGAGCTGAATGTGGACCACTGAGGAACTGACCAGAAGGCACTGGCCTACTCCGAAGTCCACTAGGACAAACAACGCCAATGTGCACTCTGAGGGGCTGGGGTACACCCAGCTGTGGGGTGTTTCCCGTGTTCCCTACAACCTGGATGTGTTGCTCATTATTTGATCATCTTCAGACCGGAGATGTGACAAGCTAGGAAGCCGCAGCCAGTTCCATGCACACCGACAGCTGAAAAGGGTCTTTGTTTCATGGCCCTTCACGTCATCTGGGAAGGAGCCCAGGAGCAAAAGAAAAGGGGGGAAAGCAAATCAACCTTCCCGCCACTCACGGGGTAGCCCCAGCCGTGAAGAAGCAAGAGGTACCAGCCAGAATTAACAACTGTGTCATCCCCACCCCATCTAAGTAGATGCCTCTGTGAAACACATTTTGCTATCCAGAGCAAGAAAGCATGTCTTAAGTTAAAAACAAAACAAAAAACCCTACTGTACTTATTATTGTTGTTACTATTGTTAGTAGTAGTAGTATTAAGAGATGGAGGAAAAGGAAGAACAAATTCCTTTTCAAATGGCCAAGGGGAAATAATGAGGAATGTTTCCTGTCAGAAACCTCGATAGCGGGAAACTATTTAGAAAGTCTTTAAAAAAAAAAAAAAAGTAATCAAAATAGAGAAATAATGTAAATATGGGTTTCATATTGGGGGAATTTGAATCCCTCAGCTTTCTGATGAATTTGGCAAGGAATAAGACTATGTCAGAGGCTTTTGTTTTTGTTCTCTTTAAACACGGGGTGTTTAGGTAACCCTGAGTCTGGGATATGTGGAACAGTTTTATTGGCAAGTTTGGCAGGGAGAGCACTTTCTTTTTCTGTCATTGGCCTAATCCTGGTGCCACATACAGAAATAATATCCTAAACTGGCCTGGTAGTAACAGGGAGGTAACATCACACAGCTAATTCACACATGGCTCAACAGCAAGATTTTATGCACAGTAGTTTATTCTCACATAGGCACATACACAGTAAAACTATGTGAAACTTACACAAGGCCATGCTCCAACTTCCATGGTGAGATACACTCTGCAGTCACTGTAATAGATATGAAATTCCAGGCGAATATGAATTTGATTTTGGATCTTTTCTTTTTGAATATTTTGGAAGAGCAAACACAGTAAACCTGTGGCTTCTTTCGTCTTTTATCTTTTTTCAATCTTGCTAGCCCTAGGTTGTTTTTTCTTTTTCTTTTTTTTCAAATACAATTCAAACATAGACAGAATAAGTAAGGGCCTCTGTGGAATGAGATCTGGGAACCCAGAAAGATATTCCTCATAATCTTACATATTCTGATGGATGCTGTAGGAGTCCATCATAAAAATGTCCTCCATTAAAACTAAGATTTTGATCCATTTTCAAGTACTTATAGGGCTGAGGGACATAATACATCCATATGAAAAATCCAAGAGCACATTTTGGTGGAAACTGAAGGAAGGAAAACATGATGGGGAAAAGAGGTGTATAGCTTAAGGAGGTTTGGGTCTTTCCCAGAGACTTCCGCTCAGTTTCCAGCTTTGGCTCAAGATGATTGTAATCCCAAAATACTACCAGGAAAGAGATAATAATTCACTGCTTGTGAACAGGGTGAATGAATGACCTGATGAAACCATTATAGTTCAACATCAGATTATGTGATACATTGTTTTTGCTAAGATGAATGATTTGAGTGAATGAATGAATGAATCTTGACCTATGGACAAACCACAGTGAAAGGAATATTGCTGAAAGAAGAAGTAGACAATGAGGGATCAAAGATGTGGCTTTTTAAAATCTCCATTATTTTTTCTTTCTTTAATCTTCTTATCCTTAGCTGTTCCATGTACAATTAAAAATAAAATGTGAAGGTGGCTCTTTGACTTTAACAGAGAAATAGGGCACCAGGATGATCTTAATAAACTGTTGCTTGGGCAAAATTAAGTATCTTCCATCTGTAGAGCAATTCATACTTCCTAAAGCCAAAGGCCTTAATGCACTCTGGTCTGAAAACTTATTTTGACTTTTGTAAGTATAAAGGCCATTTCTGTTTCTATTGTGTAGCTCAAAAAAGTGACATCTACAAAAGGGATTTGATTAGCTGAAGATTAACCAGATATTTAGCAATGATGGTATCAGTAGAATCCAGACCCTATCATTCCCAGACAAGATCCCTTTCAGCTCAGTTTAGGGCCCACACGTTCATGTTTACCTGAGTTGTGGTGGCAGCTTGAATCTGTTACGTACATCATCAAGACGGTTGCCCAGGTAAGGTGTGTCCACTGTCACAAATATGGCCTTGTAGCCCGTCTTCTCTGCCTGCCGCACCAGCTTCTTGGTGACTTCTCGGTCATTATAGATATACAGTTGCAACCAACGAAGTGCCTCAGGACCAGCTTCCGCCACTTCTTCAATTGAGGAGGTGGCCCAGGAACTCAACATCATGCCCGTTCCCAGGGACTGACAGGCTGAGAAAGAAAGGGGATAATCAAGCCAGACCTGGCATTGCTCATCCAAGCCTTTGAATTGCAGTTGGATGGATTAAAGACATCTAGAAGGGCAATTTGGCAATATGAAGTCAAATTTTTTAAACAGAGAAGCAAGCTCAGTCCATACCATCTATTTCCTGATTTTACCTCCTCTGGAACAAATGGCTACTGGAGTTATTGCTGCTCAGTGTTTATTTTCCAATGATTAGAAATACACATTTCTTTCCACACTTTGTATATTGTTCCTGAAGAACAAAATGAGTCCAATAGTCAAAGGTGCCTGTAAATACAGGCAAAAAATATTAAGAACCTGAATGTCCAGCACTAGGGAATTGGTTAAACTATGGTTCATACACCATCAAGTAAACACTGATCTTGTATGAAATCCCAAGACTCTCTTATCTTACTTTTACTCACTGACACTTTTCATTGTCTTTAAGATACATCTTCAAAGATAGACACCTACACTTTTAATGTTACAGATATACTCAGACTTTATTCATATGTTTGGCATTTATTTCTCTTCTTTAATTAAACAGTTATACATTATGCCATTGCTATAAGGAAATTGCATATGACACACACACACACATACAATCACTAAAAGGGACACTGGTCAGGTCTCAGATATTGAAGCATCAAAGATAAGGCTACGTATATAAGCTGGGAGATAAAACTTCCATTTCAGAACAATAACAGGGTAGAATGGATTGAGAGCCTGTCCTACAGTCCCAGTCTTGCCATCCATGAAGCACATTCTATCTGCGCAATGGCTATAGCCACAGCTATTCTGCCCACTTCATTGCATTGCAAGATCATCTATTGGGGCAAGGTTTGTGAACGTTTTCTGTGTAGTCCCTGAAGCCATGCAATTGCAAAGGGCTAGGTGAGAGGATGCCTAATGAATTTGGAAAAATAAGTCCTGGATAGCTTTGTATATTTTTCTAATTTCGCCAAGGACCTGGATTTCTCAATGTCATTATTTATTAATCTTCTCTTTGCCAGACTCCTTTGTGCATTCACACTCTGCACCTCCAGTATACGGAGGACCTTCCCGCCGGACTCTAAGATTCCATGCCTTCCCAATGCATGGCAGTGTCTCTCATGCACATGGCAAACCTACCCTCTTGGATGTCATTGCCCTGAAATATTGAGGGAGTCTATTTATCTATGCTTGGTACCAGGGAGTCATTTAGGCATGCAGAGAGTCTAGAAAGATCATTGCCCTGGGAGAGTGGTGAGTTCCATGCTGAGTTCTCCTACTTTGTTGCTCATCTCTGTGTGACCTTAGGTAACATCCTCTTCAGGACATTTTTTTTTTCTTTTTTGAGACAGGGAGTCTCACTCTGTCACTCAGGCTGGAGTGCAGTGATGTGATCTTGGCTCATTGCAACCTCTGCCTCCTGGTTTCAAGCAATCCTAGTGCTTCAGTCTCCTGAGTAACTGGGATTACAGGCATGTGCCACCACACCCAGCTAATATTTGTATTTTTAGTAGATACAAGGTTTTACCATGTTGATCAGGCTTGTCTTGAACTCCTGACTTCAAGTAATCTGCCTACCTTGGCCTCCCACCAAAGCCAGCTTTCCTTTGCAATTATTTTTAATCTATTTATATGTATTTTTAATTGAAAAATAGTAATTGGACATGTTTATGGGGTAAAATGTGATGTTTTGATCTATGTATACATTGTGGACAAATTTAGACAAGCTAATGACCATATTCATCACCTCACCAACTGGTAAGGTATGGCTCTGTGTCCCCACCCAAATCTTACTCAAATTGTAATCCCACATGTCGAGGGAGGGAACTGTAATCCCCATGTGTTGAGGGCAAAAGGTGTTTGGATCATAGGGGTGATTTCCTCCATGCTGTTTTCGTGCTAGCGAGTGAGCTCACGCAAGATCTGATGGTTTTATAAGGGGCTCTTCTCCCTTCACTTCACACACAGGCTCTCTTACCTGCCACCATGTGAGACATACCTGCTTTCCCTTTCACCATGATTGTAAGCTTCCTGTGGCCTCCCCATCCATGCAGAACGGTGAGCCATTAAACCTCTTTTCTTTATAAATTACTTGGGCAGTTCCTTATAGCAGTGTGAAAGTGGACTAATACACCAACTTACCGGTTTTTTTTGTAGGAAGAACATTAAATATCTATTCTTTCAGTAATTTTAAAATATAAAATACATTACTATTAACTGTGATCACCATTCTGTACGATAGATCACTAAAACCTATTACACCAGTTGCATTGAAACTTTGTACAACCTTGATCAATATATCACTTTCCTCATTCTTTTCCTTCCTCTCCCAGCCTCTAGTAGCCACCTTTTTACAATCTGTTTCTGTGAGACCTACCTTTTTAGATTCCACATATAAGTGAGATCATATAGTATTTGTCTATCTGTTCCTGGCTTATTTCACTCAGCATACTATCTTCCAGATTAATCCATGTTGTTACAAATAACAGAATTTTCCACTTTTTAAAGACTGAATAGTATTCCTTTGTGTACATACACCTCATTCTTTATCCATTCATCTGTCAATGGATACTCAGGTTGACGCCATATCTTGACTATTGTGAATAATGCTATAATGAACATAGAAGTGCAGATACCTCTTCAACATACTGATTTCAACACCTTTCAATAAATATCCAGAAGTAGAATTGCTGGATCATATGGCAATTCGATTTTTAGTTTTTTGAGGAATTGTATGAAACTAAAAATTTCTGCACAGCAAAGAAAACAAACAATTAACAGAATCAAGAGACAACCCAGGGATTGGGAGAAAATATTTGTAAAGCATATATCTAATGAGTGCTAATATCCAAAAAAATATATGGAACTCAAACAACTCAATAGCAAGAAAAAAATAACCCAAATAAAAAATGTACAAAGCACAAGAAGAGAAACAATCAAAGGAATAAACAGGCAACCTACAAAATTGGAGAAAATATTTGCACACTATGCATCCAACAAAGGTCTAATATCCAGAATCTATAAGAAACTTACAAATCAACAAGAAAAAAACAGATAACTCCATTAAAAAGTGGGCAAAGGACATAAGCAGACACTTCTCAAAGACATACAAGAGGCTGATAAATATATGAAAAAATGTTCATCATCTCTAAGGATCAAAGAAATGCAAATCAAAACCACAAGATATGCCATCTCATACCAGCCAGAATTGCTTTTGTTAAAAAATCAAAACATACTATATTGGTGAGACTGTGAAGAAAAGAGAAGGCTGATATACTGCCATAGGGAATGTAAATTAAATAAGCCACTGTGGAGAGCAGTTTGGAAATTTCACAAAGAACTGAGAGTTATTCTACCATTCGACCCAGCAATCCCACTAACTGGGTGTATTCCCAAAGGACAATAAATCATTCTACCAAAGAGACACATGCACCTGCATGTTCCTCACAGTACTATTCACAATAGCAAAGTCATGGAATCAATCCAGGTGCCCATCAATGGTGGACTGAACTTTTTAAATGTGGTACATATATACCATGGAATACTATGTAGCCATAGAAAAGAACAAAATCATCTCCTTTGCACCAACATGGATGCAGCTGGAAATCATTATCCTAAGTGAATTAATGTAGTAACCAAATACCACATGTTGTCACTTATAAATGGAAGCTGAACATTGGATACACATGGTCATAAAAATGGGAACAATAGATGCTGGGGAATACAACAGTGGGGTTGGGAGGGGGAAAAGGGCTGAAAAAAACTACCTGTTGGGAACTATGCTCACTACCTAGGTGATGGATTCATTTGCACTCCAAACCTCAGCATCATGCAATATACCTTTGTAACAAACCCACACATGTACTCCCTAATTCTAAAATAAAAGTTGAAAAAAGAAAAAAAAAAATGGGCAAAGGATCTGAACAGACATTTCTCAAAAGAAGAGATATAAATGGCCAATAGACATAATGAAAGAAACTCAGTATCACTAATCATCAGGGAAATTTAAATTAAAATCATAATGAAGTATCACCTCCAACTGTTAGAATGGTTACTATCAAAAACACCAATGATAACAAGTGTTGGTGAGGATGCAAAGAAAAGGGAACCCTTGTGAAGAAAAGGGAACCTACAGATGACAGGAAAGTAAGTTAGTACAGCCATTTTGAAAAACAGTATGGAGATTCTTCTACAATGATTTTGATGCTCAAGAGACACATTCCTCTTTTCCCTTGCAAATATAGTGTCCAGTGCTCAATACCTTTATGGAGAAAGCTCCTAAAGGAGAGTGGAATCTTCTTCAGGCCCAAGAACTCCCTGTGGGGACCTATATAGAGAGAGAATATCTAAGGAGATAATTTCTGCATTCCCAGGGTACACATTACTTTGGAGAGCCTGGAACAAATAATCCAAGAAGTGCAAAAAGAACAAGCTTTTCCCTATCCCCATCCTAACCTGTTTACAAATTTCCATGGGGGGAACTGCAGAGTGAGTCTAAGGGGCTGCAGCACTTGCATAATCCAAACATCAATCAATAATACTTGGAAGAAAAATTGTAAAGTTCTTAGTATATGTTTTTGGTTTCTCTACTCTTCCATTTGCAATGTAACTATAAATATAAAATATAAAAATAAGTGAGATTAATATCATTGTTTACTATCACCTATTCCGCCTACTCCATCTCAAAAAATGAGCTATGGCCAGTGGAATGATTTCTGTTTAACAGAATAAAAGTTAATCTCAGACCCACCCATAATGAAGATTCCTATTAGAGTTAAATCACATGTCCTAGGGTGGAAAAATGCCACAAGGGTCTGCAATAACCTGACGTAAGGTAAGTGTAGATTGACCTTTCTAAACTGCCATTCAGTAGAGGCTTGGAAAATTTCCTATACTATGGAACCTATAATCAACTACTGAGATTAAAAAGAACTCATCAGGTATGAATGCAGCTACCTCTAGAGTTGACACAAATCCTAAACTCCAATGTACAGTG